GGCAGGCCAGGGTTTTGGAGGGATCACCCACCGGGAAATGGAAATCACCAAGAGTCATAAGAGGAGGAAGAGGGGTGCTGGAGAGCGATGCAGTCCTTGAGGGGCGAGGGGGTGTCCATTTCCAGTTACAGCAAAGTCAAGGGGATGCTCAAAGTGTCGACAAAAGAGTCAAACTCTGTAAAATATTTGAAGAGAGTTACTCTGAACCAAACCTGAGTGGTCATGGCCCAGGACGCAGCCCTTGGGAAGTGCTGAGAGAAAACATGTGTCCAAGGTGGTCACAGGGTACAGCTTCATTTTATCCATTTTAGAGAGACATGAGACTTCAATCTAATACATTTAAGAAATAAATTGGTTCAGAAGAGCAAGAGAACCAGAAGGCCGGGGGGTGGGTGGGGGGGTGGTTCCAGGTTATAGGTAAAAATTTTCTGGGTGACAATTGGTTGAGTTGATTTAAAGACCTGGGATCAATAGAAAGAAAATGTTTGGGTTAAGATAAAGGATTGTGGAAACCAAAGTTCTTATTTGCAGAGGAAGCCTTCAGGTGGCAGGCTTCAGAGAGAATAGATTGTAAAATATTTCTTATCAGACTAAAGTCTGTGTTGATGTTAATGCTGGAGCAATAACGATGCAAATCTGACGCCCACTTCCCATCATGGCCTGAACCAGTCTTTCAGGTTACATTCTAAGAGTGCCCTGGCAGAGGAGGAAGTCCATTCAGATGGTTGGGGGGGCCTCAGAATTTTATTTTTGGTTTACAAAAAGTTTAGGATACGGGACGTTGCTCATGACTGGTCATGAGTTCGAGAGTGGGAGGGTTTTGGGGGAACTGGGGATGGGGGAATGTGTCTGAGAAGCTGATATACAGAGCTGTCTGGGGCAAGGGGTGGCCTGGGGGACTCGAACTCTCCATACAGAGGGAGAAGCAGCATAATGAGCTTCATCCTGGAGTCTACAGTGGCAGACGGTGGGGAAAGGAGTGACAGTCAGGGAGTAAGCCAGCAGAGGAGGCAGCTGAGGATGGTCTTACTCAGACCCTCCCTACGTGCTGGGAGCTGGAAAGGGGTTGGTTTTGCCCAAGCACAGGGGGTCTCACTTGTCTCCAGGCGATAGTGGCTAGCTGAGGATAGTGGAGGCTCATTGCCCTAAGCCAAGTGGGAAAACTGCCTCACCCAGGAGGTCACACCCGCCCCTACAACCCAGTGCCTGATTGATGCAGGGAGGGAGACGAGGCACAAAATGGTCCTGGCCTCAAGGCAGGGACAGCCATGAGGTGCAGTGCTCCTGAGCTCCCCTTCACCCAGCCAGGCTGAAGCAGTCACAGCCCTGCTCAGCTCTCTGCACCGGCTCTCTACCCCCACTCTCCTTTCCTAGGAGCACCCCCTCCATAATCACCTCCATAGGAATTCCATCTCAGCTCTGCTTCCAGGAAACCTGACCCAAGACAGAGGTTGTTACAAGGGCAGAGGCCACAGGCCTCCACACCAGCCTCTGTTCGTTCAGTCTCTGAGGGGCCCAGCGCTCCCCATGCACTCCTCCTTAAAACCTCCTCGACCCTGGGGTCTGCAGGCCAATTCCTCGCGGGTGCCTTCCCTTGTCCTGGCTGCCGCTCTGCTTCCTTTACAAGCTCCTTCTCGCACCCTCACGCTGGCTCCCTCCAGAGAGCTCCATCCCCTTCCCACTCTGCCTTTGTGGGTGGTCCCCAGATCTCTGTCTCCTCTCCCCTGGACCCCTCTGCTCTTGACTGCCAGATCTATGGAGTTCAATGCCCCTGGAGGGCTCCACATCCATCCCACAGGGACCTGGACGCACATCTTCCTTCTGAGCGTGCTCTCCCCGGAGAGCTGGCATTGGAATTGGCCCTGCCACCTTCTGGTCTCCCCGAGTGGAAACCCGGGTGTCAGTCTGGACTCTTGTCACCAAATTCTGTGCCTTCCACCTTCACATGGCCTCTCCATCTTCACTGCCTCGGTGTCTCTATCTCGTCCCGATCACCGTCGCCTCTCCTCTGGCGGACAGCACCCGTATTCCCACTGGTCTCTGCTTTTCCTCGAATGCATCTCTGTGTAAATCTCCCCTCAGGATCACTCTGTGGTCTCCACTGCTCTGGGTGGAATCCTCTTTCCAGTGGCGTCTCAGCCCCTGGGGCTGCCTCCCTCCTCACCACCGCCTTGTGCTTCTGCACTGAGCTCCAGCCAGACCGCCTGCCTGCAGCCACCCGGTGCTACCTGTTCCCGTGTGCTTCCTGCCTTTGCCTGGAGAGAATCATCATCTATAGTCCAAACTCAAGGACAAAAACAAACTGCTCTTTGGCTGTCGTGGCAGGAAAGCCCCAGTCAGTCCGTGACAATGCTGCATGCTTCCAAAAGCCAGCCAGTCAGGGACAGCCCCATACTACAGAACAGGCCCAGGCAGCAAGAACCTTGTGCCCCTGAAGTCAGGCTGAACGCTCTGGCTTCTGAAAGCTGGACAATCCTCCATGCCAGGCTTCTCAAGAGACTCAATCTGTTTTGCTCTGAGAGATGGTCCCATAGCACAGTTCCCCTTTGCTCTAGTAAGCAAGATACTCCGCTTCGGCGCTGGCCAGCCTCACAGTCCATTCTCACCAAGACCGATGGGCCTCCCTCTGGGCTCCTGCAGGGCCATATCTGTCTCTGTTCACACACCTTCCCCTCACCACTTAGAAACATGGGCTGGCATGGGGGAGGAGCAGGGGTGAGAAATAAACTTTCAGCCCCAGAGGAGGAGCCCAAGAGAAGAGAAATGCCCTCACCTGGAGCCCCTGCTATGCGCCTGGCACCCCTACTGACTGCATCAACCACTGTGATTTTTTAAAAGATGTACTAATTTGAAATGTATAATGCATATGGGGGAGTGTATGAAATATCCACAATTTAAAAGTAAGGAAAAATGCACGCCTGTGTGCCCACCACCTAGTGAAGAAATACAACCTGGACACCACTTTGGAAGCCTGTCTGTGTCCACCCATTGCATCCTCCCTCCTCCCCCAGCCGAGGTATCATTCATCCCAACCTTTAGCTGTCCCCTGCTTTTTTTTAGTTTCACTGCCTGGGTGTGCAACCTCACATACAATATTGCTTCGTTATCTGGGAAACCGGGCTGTATAAGAAAACGACTCCTAGGACCCCACACCACTGTAAGACGCAGGATCCCCAAAGACTCTGCTCCCAGTCCGGCTTCCATTTCCTGTGGGTTTATAAAGGGCCTTTCTGAAGACACTGGGACAGGATTCACAGAGCTGGAACATTTGCAGTGAGGACCACATTCCAGATGACCAACAGGGATATGCTTATGGAGGGGATGGGCCAATTTGGACTGTCCCCTTCTAAGCCCACCAAGAGCTACCTGTAGCTCTCAGGAGTGGGATCAGGGCAAAACATGGATGTGGGGTAAAACGGGTGACCTCTGATTCTAGGCACCAGGAGATGGAGAGAAGAGCAGGAACGCGGGAACACATGGGGAAGGCAGGCACAGGTGAGAATCTAGGCCAGGCTCACCTGGCCATTCTGTCCTGAGGCTTAAAAACATGCAATGATGGCAATGACAGCATTTGATCTGTCTCTGGAGTCACTTTGCATGAGGTCATTCTCCCTCCACCACCCTGCTGGGGGATTCCTTTACCTCCTCTCCCCCATACATCCCATATTGGGAACTTGCACTTCCAGCTAAGATGCAGTAACAGACTGACTTTACCCTTTTGCCTGAAACAACTCAACAGCTGGAAAAAAATAAATGAAACGATGGCTCTGAAAATACTGGAAAAGCAGCAAACGACAGCAGCAGATCACCTTGATTCCAGGCACCTGAAATCTTCTCTGGACCAACACAAGATACAATTTAAATGTAAATTAGGGTAGGCCCAGGGGCCCATGCCTGTAATCCCAGCACTTTGGGGGACCAAGACGGGAGGGTTGCTTGAGCCCGAGTTGGAGAACAGCCTGGACAACACTGGGAGACCTAACTTCTGCAACAAATTTCAAAAATTAGCTGGGCGTGGTGGCACGCACCTGTAGTCCCTGTTACATGGGAGGCTGAGGGGGGAGGATCGCTTTAGCCCAGGAGGTCGAGGCTGCAGTGAGCCATAATCGTGCCACTGCACTCCAGCCTAGATGACAGAGACCCTATCCCCCCCACCCTACGCAAAAAAAGAAAAGGAAATGAACTAACATTAATTTCTTCCAAGATGCCCAGGTTCTCTTCACCCCCTTCATCACTGTTCCTCCAGTTGGAAATTTCTCCCTCCCCAGGCAAAATCCCGCCCACCCTTGGAGGCCTTTTCAGATCATTCTTGCCAGATGAGCTCCCCTTGTCCCTTCTCTGAGTCCAAAGGGGCCTAGCTGCCGTCTGTCTCCCTCCTTCCCCTTGTTTCCGCGCTACCTCCAGGGCACTTCCCAACTCGCTGGCCAAAAGCCCCCAATGAGCGGACTATGCTAACTTTGGCTCTGGATTTCCTAGAGTGTAGTGAGTTGGAGAAAAGCGCGCGAAGCCCTGCCTTGCAGCAGGCGCGAGAGCAGGTGCTTGGGACGTGCGCTGGGGCAGGGGCTCCGGGACGTGGGCGGAAGCCTGCGCGGCCCTGCCTCCCCAGGACAACCTGGCCTGCGCTCACCCGCGCCCAGGCGCTCCGCGGGGGGCAGAAGCGGGCTGGGCCAGGCTCCTCAACGCCAGGCCGGGGCCGCAGTCCTAACCCAGCTACGGCACCGGGCACGCAAGAGTCGGCGTCAGTGCGCGTGAAGCCGGAGCATCATCAGGCTCAGCCAGACACGGCCCGGTTCCTGGGCTTTCCGCTCTTTTTGCGGGGCAGAAGGGGAAAGAGGCCTCGAGTAGTGCGGGCTCCGGGCTCTGAGTGAGGCCTGGTGTCTGCTGCCGCCCGGCCACCCTCATTCTCCAATCGTATCCCCAGTCCGGGTCCGCAGCCTCTGGCCGCGGCGTGGTTGCCTGGGAAACGCATGCGCCTGCGCAGGGCTTCCTGGGCTCTGGAGTCCGCCGGCGGCCTCGCCGCGGCCGGCCGCGCATGGAGCAACTACAATTCCCAGGAGACCGCGCGGTGGGCGGGGCAAGGTAGTGGGCGAGGCATCGACTGGCTGGGTCTCTCCGCACAGCGCCAGTCGCAGAGGAAGATGGCGTCGCGGAGGCTGTGGTCGTTTTTTCGCGGGCTGCCGGCGCTGCTACTGCTACTGCTGCTGCTGTTCTTGCTTGGGCCCTGGCCCGCGGCGAGCCACGGCGGCAAGTACTCGCGGGAGAAGAACCAGCCCGAGCCGCCCCCGAAACGCGAGTCTGGGGAGGAGTTCCGCATGGAGAAGCTGAACCAGCTTTGGGAGAAGGCTCAGCGGGTGAGCGCTACCCGGGGGCGGCGGCCGTGGTTGGGGGCAGTGGAGCGGGGCCCGGGGGTCGGAGGCGGGGGAGGGGGGTCGCAGCCGGGGCACGTGTGCCCCACGCGCCCGGTCCTTGGCACAGCCTCCCCCAGGTGTCAAGTGGGGCGCCCGGACCCCTTCTGCAGCAGGAAAGGTACCCGTGCCGGCGGCGACGCCGTGTGGAGCAGGTTGCGGCCGGCACCCCGAGGGTCAGTATCGCCCTCCCCAGCCTGGGCGGCCTGCTGACCGGAGCGTAGGGGCAGAACCAGGCTAGATCACGGGTCTCCTGCCTCCCGAGCCTTTGCCGCTTCCCTCAACCTTATCTCTCTATGTGGGGAAACAAGAAAAATGTTGTTTCCCCACATAGGGAGATAATGTTGGGTAGACAGACGTGTCCAGGGAGAGAAGGAATCCCAGGAGCAAGCCCGTGCTTGTTCATTTGAGCGAGAAAGGAGGAGGTGAGGAGATGGGATCGGTTTAGAGCACATAAAACGCGACCTTGAGAATGCTGAAAGTCAGTCTTAACAGGGCGCTTACCTGACCACCTTCATTTGAGAGATGAAGGTACGGAGGCCCGAGGGGAAAGGGCACCCCCAAGGTGGCTCGGCCAGTGGGGCCCCCCGGGACAATAGCTTTCTAATTGGTGCGTGACCCTAGGCCAGCTGCTCTCTTCATGAAGATACGGTTGCTTCATTTGTTAGGTGTTCCTGAAATGGGTGTGTTCGAACCATGGCCACCGTCTGGGCCTCAGTATCTCATCTCAAATGCAGGAGTCAGATTAGATCTCTGTCTCAGTATTCCAGTTCTACGCATTCCTGAGTCTTTGAGAGAAAAAGTAAATGATTTGCAGAATAAGAAGGAACTTTTGGAACGAAAAGGGAGGAGAGAAACAGGTGGGGGAGGGACAGACGGTTATAAGACTGCTTGGGGATGGGGATTGACGCCTGGGCATCAGCTCCACAGGCCCTTCCTGAGCTGCTCCTGGGACCAGCAGTCAAGCCCCACGCGTAATGTTCAGCCTGCGGAGGTGGGAGAATGCTCTGGGCGGGAGCGGCAGGGCGGCTTCTTGGAGGAAGGGATTCTGGAGGAGCTGGGGACAGGGCTGGGTTTGGATGTGGTGATGGCCTCCCAGCAGCAGGGAACAGGTGTAACCAGGAGCAGCTGGGGTGCAGCGCTGCCTCCCCGTGCCCGCTGCACTGGGCATCTGTTGAGTGGGTGGAGTCCCCCCTCCCCGTGAGGAATGGGGAGCCCGAAAGAGACTCCCTGACCCCCTGACCGATTGGAGGTGGCGCTAAGGAAGTGCACTCGGGCCCAGGAACCCCAGCGGCTCCCTTTGCTTTTGGGTCCTGGCCCAAGTCTTCCACCTGCCCTGTAGGGCCGCCCTGGTGCACCCCACCTTACCTGCAGCCACCTCCAGCTGGTCCTCTGTGTTTGTCAGCCCAGGGCCCCTGCAGTGATACACCTGCCCTCGGGCTGCCCATGCACCGTCCCTGTCCCCCGGTGCTGGGTGCTCGCCTGACCAGTTTCAGTTTTGGGTCGGGTCTTGTCTCCTGAACCTCCCCTGAGGTTCCCTGGGCACCGTGGTAGGGCAAGCTGCTCACCTCCACTTTGGACTGAGCCTTGGACTACATGGTCTTTCTGGTCCCTTTAAGTCCTGAAGTTCTAGTTGCGTGGGCAAGTGTTTTTTGCTGAACAAAATGTGAAGTTCTTTGAGGGTGAGGGTGTTCTGGGGGGATTTTGTGTGTCTTCCCCCCTTCCAGAGAGCCTGGTCCTCTGGCAGGCAGGCCTGCAGAGCCCATTCGTCTTGATTTTCCTTCCAGATAATGGAAGCTTGGAGGGCGGCGGTGCTGCGAGGGTATTGTATCCCGGAGCCAAGCGTGCGGGCGTCAGACCCGTCCTGGTCTTTTTGAGGTTATCAGTGGCGGTGGCGCATGGCAGGTGGTCTTCGTGCTGTGGCTCTTGCTGCCGAGCGTGCTACGGCCTAGGTGGTCAGGAGGCAGGAGGAGCCACAGTCAGTTCGAACGTAGGGGCAGAGAATTGTTTGTGCAGTCACTCCAGTTGGCTTCTTACCCCACCCGACTTGCCACTCTAGGTGGGTATCAGACGAAGACGGGGTCTTGAGTCGCCACCTGGAAGATAACTGAGGCGAGGGCTGCTTTTTTAGAAAAGCACATCCCGCCCAGCTCTGCAGCGGCTGCTCTCAGCCTCCTGTGACCTGTGCTCAGCAGCCAGGACGGTCTTGTCCTTTCTTTGGTTTGCTTCGTGAAAACCTCGCATCCCTATTTTCTGCATGTAAAGCCATGTCCTGGCATATAGGATTGCTTAATGTGTCAGTAGGTATAGGGTGAAGGGAGCGTCTCAGGAAACCTTTGCCTTTGATGGCCTTGGGCTGTGAGACCTGCCCTGAGGCACAGATAGGGGTGGGTGCCACCAAGAAGACGCCGAGACCCGCTTTCATCCGGTGAGACGCGGCCAGGGAGTTGCTCCTTCATCCTCTCCAGCGCCCGTGAACTCTCCCAGTTCCTGTTTCACAGGCGGGCTCCGCTGTGTTGCAAGACTCCTAAGCAGAGGCTGTCCCTGGTGCTTTGGCGGTCGGAGGCCATGCAGAGCCCTTGTGCTTGCAGGTGCCTTCGGGGGATTCTGCCTCTTCAGAGCTCTGTGTGTTGTGTTGATGCTGAGGAGTAAGCTCCAGGGTCCGCATGGTCCAGCTGCGGCGCGCTCAGGGACACACTCGTGTACCTCTTGGCCTGGGCTACATGGTGCTGTGAGCTTGGAGTCCTTGGCCGTAGGTCCTTAGTTGTTTTTTTTGGTTTGTTTTTGTTTTGTTTTGTTTTGTTTTTGACAGAGTCTTGCTGTCGCCCAGGCTGGGGTGCAGTGGCGCAATCTCGGCTCACTACAACCTCCACCTCCCAGGTTCAAGCCATTCTCATGCCTCCGCCTCCTGAGTAGCTGGGATTACAGGCATGCGCCACCATGCCTGGCTAATTTTTCTATTTTTAGTAGAGATGAGGTTTCACCATGTTGGCCAGGCTGGTCTCGAACTCCTGGGCTCAAGTGATCCTCCCGCCTCTGCCTCCCAAAGTGCTGGGATTACAGGCATAATCCCAGGAGGCACCGCACCCGGGCAGTCCTTAGTTCTGGCATGAATGGTGACTGCGATGAGAGTGTGTGAAGAATCTTGTTCCCAGAGGTCTGATGAGTGGAAACTGAGGTCTGCAGGGAGGAGTCCTCAGAGCCCCACCCCATCTCTCAAGCATCCTCCCTGGCTTGAGAAGGGCCTCTGAGGATGGGCCAGCTGGCGGCCTCCACGGGCACCTAGGACTCGCCAGACCAATGCATGACCTCACAGCAGCTCAAGGCAGGTATGGTTGTCCACGGAGCTCAGGTGGAAGGAGCTGGGACACGATGGCAAGGCTGGGACAGTGCACTGCCACCTGCCGTGGTGAGACAGGTGCAGCATGCCAGGAAGCCTTGGTCCCCTGCTCCTCAGGGTGGGTGCCTTGCAGTCTGGTGTGGGCACTCAGGTGAACGCAGGGAGGATGGCACGTGCCCTCTGAAGAGGTGGTCCATTGATGGTCCTAGTTGCATTGGAACCTGCCCAGCCTGAACTGTGCTATATGTGCAGGTTAACACCAGTGGCTTAGCCGTGGACCCTGGCCTGGGTTTCCTGGGGCATCGAATAGCAGTGGCAGGTTGCTGGAAAGTTCCGGAATGCTCTGCTGGCACGCGGGTTGTGCTGTGTGGGGGAGGGCCGCTGCTGAGATCCCGGAGCAGTACTGGGCCCTTGGGTCTGGTCAGGAGGACCCGGTCGGCTCTGCTTGTGTCTGAGGACACAGGACCAGTGTCGTTTGTTCAGCTGAGCTGGCTTTCTTCCCTGCATGCGTTCCCTGGTTGTTGATGATTTGCCTCACTGCTTCATGTTTGACAGGTTCTTTTCTGCATTTGGTTTCCACAGGGTAGTTCTAACTTGATGCATTAACATTTAACTTGAGAGAGGTGAAAGAGTCCAGACGTGGGGTCTGGGGCCCTGCACACGACCTGCTGGTCTTCCTCTGCATGGAGCCGGGGCTGCTTTCTGTGGCAGCCACCAGGCTGGCCCCTTCCGCGCTGAGCGCTGGCAGTCCAAGGGAAAGGGAGCTGGCTTTTGGGAGACACGCGGTGGTGAAATTTAGACCCCCTGTTGCCTGAGAGTTGGGAAATCAGAAGGAGAAAATGACTTTCCCTGTGGGTTGCAGATTTTACAGCCCACGGAGCACCTGCCCTTGACTCTCCTAGCATCCTGGGGAGGCAGACAGGAGTCCAGGGAGGACCGCAGGTTACAGGGATTGGCGCCTGGCTGTGAGCCTGCCAGGATGGGCCCAGGGCTTCAGCAGCCTGGGGTCTTCAGCTCCGCTTTCCAGCGGGCAGCCCACGGGCAGTCACGGGACACCTGCGTCCTCTCCCCTGCAGCTAAAGAGGGCAGACCCGGGGCCCCTCAGGGCCAGCACACACTCGAGAGCATGGGCCAGGATTGCCCGCCCCAGGGTGCTGCTTCTGGCTCGGAGCATCGCTGTGGGCCTCACGTCTCGGGCCCTCCCGGGCAGTGCAGCGCGGTAGATAAGATGCCTACGGGGTAGCAGCAGCCACGGGGAAGCAGAGATGAAGGCAGACCTGTTCCTCCAGAAGTTTGGGTCACAAACAAGATAGGCAGGTGTGGGCTCCCCCTCCTCCTGAGGCGCAGACTGCCCCTTCTGAGAGTTCAGCATCACTCAGGTGCCTCTTTGTCCCGGGTCCTCCTGCTGGGGACGCTCAGATCAGACTTCACGCCTCCTAGGGCCTTCCAGTGGACGCTGCAGACGAATGTCCGGGGCACAGAGGGGCATGGGGTGGAGCTCTGGGGAGAAGGGGCTGGGTGAATGGGCCTGGCTGGGGAAGAGGCACGCAGGTAGGGGTGTGTCAGGCTGCCAGGGAAAGGGTTTTCAGGTCGGGACAATCCTGGAAAGCAGCCCCTGTAGAGATGGGGGCCAGAGCATCTACCAGGAGGGCCCAGATAAAAGACTGCCTGGGACCACCGACCAAGGGTTAGAAAACCTTCTAGAGAATTAGAAGCTTTCCTCTGCCCTAGGCCCTGCCATTCATTTTGTGCCTGCTGTGTGCTCTCTTTTTACCGTTGGGGAACGTGGCTCAGTGATCTGGATTTGTCTCTAAGTAAGTTTTAAACTCCTGGAGGCTGGGGCCTGTGTGGCTAGGGCGGCCGTGGAGTCAGGCTGGGCTTCTGAGAGGAGAGAGGGTGGAGCTGACAGCCCCAGCACCCAGCTGGCGACAGGGCCTGTGGTCGGGGGTCTCCTTCCTCCTAGGCCCAACACAGACTGAGCTGCAGGGAGCAGGATGGGCTCAGTCTAGATACGGGCAGAGCGAGGCGAGGAGGTTCCAGAGTGTGGGGTGTGCCAAACACCCAGAATTGGCTTCGTGCGAGTCTTGAAAGAAACGTGTGCCCCTGTGCAGTGCAGGCCTGAGGGCCGGGCCTCCTGAGGCCTCGGGCTGCAAGGTGGTGTGGGCTGCAGGACACTGGGAAGGCAGCCGACTCGCGACGCTTCCTGGGGATGTTCACTGTTTTATATAAACTTTATTGAACACACATACTTTGGATACTGGCTTGTGTCATATTTATGTTAGAAAATAGCTAATGAGGTATAGATTAAAGGTTAATATTTCCAACCCCTGAGGGAAAACAGACTGTATTGAAACACACATGATCAGAGACAGGTGTTGGGTGATGGGCCTCTGGAACTCAGACGCCGGAGCTGGGGTTCCCTCCTAGAACCACGGGCAGCTCGTGGGGACCGCCCCAGGGGAATGTGAGAATGCAGGTGCCCAGGGAAGGGAACCCTCCTGAGAGCTGAGAGATTTGGGGATCCGCACCGCACAGTGCTGAGCACTTCCTTTGCTGCGGGACTCCACAGAGCCTTTCATGTGCCGCTGTCACGACAGGCATGCGGTGCAGCCTCCCCAGACAGCACCCCGGCTCCGTGAACCCTGATCCCACCTCATGACACGTTCTGGTTCACACAGCTGGGCTATGCTGCTCTGCACGGAAGAGGCTTTTCTTCCCCGAAGGGCTCGCCGGGCCAGCCCTGAGGCCAGAGTTGATGAGAGCTGGCCGGTGGGTTTCGTTCTGCTGCTTGCCTTGGCCACCTGGCATTCTGGCCCAGTCATTCTGACATGAGGACACTCTTGGCCTAAATCCTGTCTTTACAACCAAAAAGCAGTGTGCCCAGCGGTCACCTCACTTCCTTCCTTCCCTCACCCAGAGTCCCAGAGCTGGGAGGGAGGGTGGGATGAAGGAAGTGTGGCCCGCCCTGCGGAGGGGTGTGAGGGTGGGCGGGGGAAGATCCTCAGCCCCAGTGCGGCAGCTCGTTCCAGGGCCCTGCCTGTGTGGTCTACGCCAGCAGGTAAGTGAGAGGGTGACAGACTCCTGCTCCAGAAGGATCTGGGGCTGTGTAAGAACCATCACAGCAAGACAGTTTGCATCATGGAACACTTGAGAGGTGGCGACGAAGGGTCTTTGGAAAATGAAGATGGGGCCAATCTGAGATTACAGTGATTCTTTTAAAAGAGAACTTCTGGGTGTCTGTGTCCTTGCAGTGGTGTCTGCGTCCTTGCAGTGGTGTCTGCAGTGGAATGGTAACGCAATGGGTATTTTCTTCCTGCCCTGTTTATCCAAGTGCCCGATAAACTGTCCCCAGGTGCTAGGGTGGGAAGGGTGGGGTGTCTTACAGCCGGACAGGAATGGGCAGCCGCTGCTGGTGGGCAGCCCCCGATGGATTTGGGGTTTCCAGATCACGTATACAGATGGGCCTGGAGACTGGTGTCCATGCCGCGTTCTTGTCGAAACCTGTGGGGTTTGAATCCTGCTGACAGTGACCCTGACTCCACCTCCTCCTGGTCTCCCAGAACCTCCCGGTGGCCAGCCTCCTCCGAGGTCAGTTTCCAGCTGTGTCCTGGTCCATCCTGCTTGTGGCTCACAGTCCCCTCCCCTTCATTCGCAGCTACATCTTCCTCCCGTGAGGCTGGCCGAGCTCCATGCTGATCTGAAGATACAGGAGAGGGACGAACTCGCCTGGAAGAAACTAAAGCTTGACGGCTTGGACAAAGATGGGGAGAAGGAAGCGAGACTCATACGCAACCTCAATGGTCCGTTTGTTTCTTTCCTAGTGCAGGTCGAGTATCCCTCTTCCTAAATGCTTGAGAGCGGCAGTGTTTTGGATGTCGGATTTTGTTGCTGCTGTCACGACAGGCATGCGGTGCAGCCTC